TAACTTTTGTACACAGTAAGAAAAGCAAATACATTCTTAGTATTTAGGTAATTATGAACATAGGGGTCTAAGCACCATACTTGGAGAATTGCTACTTATTAAAGAATTAAACAACTCTTAACCAAACTACTCAGTATGTATTGAACTATGTTTCCCTAACACACAAAGAACTGAGATATTTTGGAAAAGGGGAAAATATATATGCTTGTCCTTTTCTTTCTTATGTTTATAGTTGTAGTTCATGGTACAAACTACTTAACACACAAACCCCTCCCAAGCTATGAAGCAACTTGTAAGGCAGGTAAAAATTATCTACATTTTACAGAGAAAACTAGCCTTCAAGGAAAGTTAACTAACTTGCCCAAATGAGCATATCTTATGGTTTCCAATATCACTACAGTAGTAGTTATGCTTTTCATATATTTGGTGATATAGTATTGGAAGAAGGAGCAGACTACCTTTATAAATAAATCGCATATTTAACTTGAACTTTGAAGCACATAAATATATAAAAGCAATACTTTAATAGCTGTTTTAGCTATAAAATGATAATTATTGATAACAATAACTGTTCTAAAAACTTAAATTTGACATGAGTAAATATGTACAGGAATTCTTTAAAAAAAAAGCAAGTGCCTTCCTAATCAATGACAATCTTTCTCATCCATGACAGAATAACAAAAAAGTGCAAATGTTTAGATATATATGTATACATAGCTAGATAAAGACAGCAGAACAAGTGATAATTTAAGGCCTGCATAAGAAAAATCTTGTAACAAAATATAATTGTTGTAGGTTTCAATGTGTTAAAATTATGTATATACATTTTTGTAATTTTGTATTTGTATTTTTAAATTAAATTTGAAAAAATTTAACATTCTTAAGAATTCAATCCAATTCAAGCATTTAAAATCCCCGAAACATTTTAGGACCCTGTAGAAAGCAGTTTGAAAACCAATGCATAAAGATTTGCTGCCACAAATTCATTACTTAATCTCTGCTTATGTCATTTAAGATAAAAATCAAGTAAAAAGAACTGCCTTTGATAATCAAAAATATATAACACAAGAAACCTGTTTAACCAAGGTAGACTATAGCTACTAGTCTACAGGATAAGCAAATCCATTCTATTGGTTGAAGTCTATAAAATTGCTAACATCTAACTATTTTGGCTATATAAATAAGGTTTTATAAGGTTTGAACTAATATTTTCCATTTTACTTTGGCAGTACCTTTGGTTATAAAGCCACAAAAAAGTTGTCCAATTATGTGATTGTATAGAAAAGTGAACAAGAACAATAATCAATACCACGGAAAGGTGTATCAGTGAAACTAAACATATTAAAAATTTTTAATGTTAAATTCTCTTTTTGTGCAAAGTTCTACTCACTTAGGTAGTACTAACAGTTCAGTTCTCCAAGTACACTGTAATATGCCATATCTTTTCTTTACTGGAAGATGAGTGATCTGACAATAACCTACCTTCCCTGATGCAGTTTTGCACACTACTTGTGAAATTAAAGGACAGATTCATCTAGTTACTGGAGTCTCTTATGTAAAATGTGTTGTATTTCAAAACTTATTAACTTTACAAGGTAAACAGAAGCTTTTCCTTTTATTAACAACTTTATTGAACTATCTGACTACAGAGCAAGTTAGACTTTGTAGGAGTTATGAATTTAATGACAGTTTTGTTTGTTCATTTGTTGCTGTATATGGTTTACTCTTCTTTCTTTCTTTTTTTTTTACTAACCCAAGTTGCCAAATTAGGTCCATTGAATATTTCAGAATTTCCTTTATTTTGGAAGATAACTAAACCAAATTTGTAAAGGTATTTCTAAGAATCAATGTGATTCTCATACAATATACAATTAAATACTCAAATATTAGATTAAATTACTTCATTTGAAGATAAATTCAATTCCTTTTCAAGTATCCTCAAAATTCAGTACATCATCACAAATTAAGCCATTGACAAAGAGAAACGCTTTCTGTATAAAGGTGACACTTCCCTCACCATTAATGAGGTCTATAACAGCAAAGAGTAACTTACACTGGATGTTCATGATTTTCATTCTTCCATTATGAACTACACAACTAAAATTCAAAATCATATGACTTATTGGTTATTGCTATACACTTTAATATAAATGAAAAACACAAGAAAAAGTCAGTCACATTTAGAGAGGTACAGATGGATTTTATTTATATTCTATCAAAAAGAAAAATGTCTTTATTGGAAATAAACCCTTACATGCTATTTTTAGAATGATGAATTTAAATTGCTAGATGCTGGTTGCTTTTAAGAGCCTTCAAGAATGGCAATTCTAAAAAGCTACAAATGTTGCCTAAGTCATGTCATAACTGGTACAAACAATTCTATTTCCATCTGAATTTTTTTCATGCTAGTACATGAATCACTATTAAATACCTTTAGTTACTAAAAACAGGAATATTGGCAGAGATGTGTGCAGGAATCATAAAATATGAAAATGTCAATGCCCATTTTCCACACACTTCTTTCTTTTAATAACAGAAATGAGGATGTTCTTTCTAGGTAAACAGAAATACTAGTTTCTTAAAATCTAAGAGAAAGATATAAAGAGATTTAAATGTTACTAAAGTGTCATGGGGCCACAGACACAGTTCTCTCCAAAGAGTAGAAAAAAACCATTTATTATTAGCCTAAAATTGCAACGACTTAAAAAAAAAAAAAAACTTGGCAAAGTCAATAGACTCCTCCCATTCAATAAAAAAAAATAACTTGCTGTCATTTTAACTGAGTTTAAATTTAATCAAACGTATCTTAAAGACACTTTTTTTCATGTTAAAGACATGTAAGCAAGCTCAAAACTTTTCACTTTTAAGGTCAGGAAATAATATTTTTTAAACAGCTAAATGTAGATGCCATCTGGCCCTGCAATGAAAGAGTTAACATTCAACTAAGCTGATCTGCACTTCTGATTCATTACATTTCTCACAAGCTGCCCTACAATGAGCTGAGCAAGTATCAACTGTAATTTGATCCCAGAGTTTATGGAAAAAAATAACTCCACATACTCATACTGCACATGCACATTTAATAAAAATCTGTTTCAAGAGAAAGGTATCCAATAAACACAATTTAAGGCATATTTTGATTGTTTGATTAAATTGAAGTCTGCAATCCTTTTGCTTTCCTCAAGCTCTTAGATAAAATGGGGGGGGGGGAGCGCAGCCCTTACTGCAGGGAAAAGAGGCTTGAAAAACAACTTTGATTGGCACTTGGCCTGACCCACAGAGGAAGAAAAACAGTTTTTGGACAAAGAGCGTAAATATTTGAGCTTGCTTACTGATTTGCTTTTTTTTTTCTTTTTAAAATATAAAGAACCATCCAAAAGTGACTGTATATAGAGAAAGACAAAAACGGTACCATATTCATGTTAGCTTTCATTCCTGATGCGTTTGCATAGCTCAGCAAATTTAATTCATTTATACTGGACAAACACAAGCACCTCACCGAATGTTTCCACTTAATGCAATGTAATAGTAGAGTTTGGAGGAGAATAAACTGATTATAATACTACACAGAGAGGCTGTTAAAATCTGATTAAAAACTTCTCGGGCTAAAGAGTTTTTCATCCTCTTCTCCCTCCTCCCCCCTTCCATCCTCCCACAGAACGATTAAACCAAGTAAGCTAAACAATACTGGAGTAAACTTTCAGTCTCTATGGGAAGCAATAAACTGATGAGGCATCTGATTTTTCTGGATCAACACGGGAAGAGGGGTGCTAAGGACGGATAACACACGTCCACCTCAGTCTCCTCCTTCCCCAACCCCACCCCAGCCAGAGGAGCTGTAAGGTCGAATAGTATTTCCCCTGGGCATAAAGTTCAAGATGCCTTAATAGTTCCTTTCGTGACCAAACTGTAGACAGAGAACGACCCTCAAAAGAATGTGAAAAGGGGGCGTTAGGCACCGAGAGCAAGGCAGAAGCAACAGAATAAACAAAAACACCCACAAGAGTTAGCCACAGCAAAGAGGGAGCCAGGTTTCTCAAGACCAGACCAGGCAGCTGATTTCACACCGGTCTCCATCGACAGCTAGACTGCACCGGGAGGACGATCCAACCGGTCCTCCTTTCCGAGGGGCAGACCGAGGATAGCAAGGTAGAAGCGAGCTGAAAAACAGACCACAGGCGCCCCCATCCCGCCCCCTCGGGACCGGCGTCCATCCGGCTCGGAGCAGAGAAGAGCGGCCGCCCCGCCGGAGCCTCCCTGCGGCCCACGCCCCCGCGCCTTCTCGCGACCCCTCCGAGCTCGCCCGATCGCCCGCCCGGCCGCGCCGCGCGACCCCGGCCGGCAGGAAGCGCCCCTCTCCGCCGGGCCACCGAGCCCGTACCTTCAGCAGCACTTTCCGGCAGTTGGTACAGAGCAGGTAGTTGGCGGCGGCCGACGGGCTACTGCCGCTCCGGTTCATCGTTGCTGCGGACGCCGAGGGCGGGTGGCGGGTCGTGTCGCGTCGGGCCGGGCTGTCACTGCCGCCGGCCGGGCCGCCGCAGGGCCGGACGGTCCCCCCGCCGCCGGCCGCACTTCAGCCTCAGCGTCCTCGGGCGGAATGTCGGGATGGGAGGCGACGGCCCCAGAGCAAGCGGCGCTGCCCGAGGCGACCACCGCAGCGGCTGGCGGAGACGGCGGCGGCTGCACCTCACCGGCCCGTTGTTCCTCCCGCCCCCATCCTCCAGACCCCGCGCCCCCGCCAGGCTAGGACCAGCAGCCGCCACCACTGCCGCCGCCGCAGCGCCTCGGAGCAGCCCCGCCCCCGCTGTCCTCCCCACCTCCCGGCTCCGGTCCCGCCCCCTCCCGCTGATCGGATAGCCCTGGCCACGCCCCCGGAGCGCCAGCCCGCAGCCAATGAGCTTCTAGGCCCGGCCTGTGAGTCGCGTGGGCCAATCGCAGCTGCTGAGAACGCCTTGAATCTCCGGGCAAGTTAAGTTTATCTCCGAGGCTCTGAACTGCAAGGAGATGGCGGGTTAGTTAGGTAGTGATGTAGGCGGGAGTACAGTTTGCGCCAGTCCGCCAATAAGAGGAAGAGGGTGTGTCATATGCAAATAACATTGACCGCCCCTCGGCCCCCTGCAAGCCACGCCCCCTTTCCGAGTTCCCTGCAGAGATGGTGAGGAGAGATATATAGCTAGAAAGCTAGAGCTCCCTAGAGGGTCTAAGACTGGGCTAAACACTTCCTGATATCCTGAAAAAGGGAATGTAGGGTACAGACTGAAACATTCCTTCCATCGAAACATTGATTCAGCCTCAGGCAAAACCTAAGCTTAGCTCTACAGAAGACTGCAGGATTGTAGGACTGCATCCAGGGATCTCCAAGAACTTTACGTTAGGCTTGTTGTGCAAAAGACCATTTACCTGAAGCTTGACATTCGTATGGAGGTAGATATTTGAGGTAGATGTATACAATTAACCGAGTTCGCGGGGGCAGACACATCTCTGGTTAAACAGTTTCCTCTATCTGAAGCACCTTCTTGTAGCCGTCTCAGCAATAAAAGTGGGGTTTGTCCAGCACTAAAGGGTCAAAGAGAGGTTTGTCTTCTCAACCCGAAGTCCTTTCTGAGGCAGCTGGTCCTGTACGCGCAGAGCACTGAGCCCTGCTTGCCAAGGAAGGTTCAGAGAACAAATTGCCTTTTAAAATGATTGAGCTGAGCCTTCCTCTTTCAAAGCTAAAAACAAGAGTTAGGGTTTTTGCGTCCGCGTTCAGGGGAGAGAAGCAGATATAGTATAATTGACGGGGTACAGGGGAACAGCCGAGAGGGGAGTCAAGTACCCCGAGGGGGCCAGCGTGCGGATGGAGTGCGGACAGCCGACGCTAGACACCCGAAACCTGCTCCCCAGTGAGAACAAAGACTGGTGCGGAGCGAGAACCTGATTGGTGCCAGGCGCTCACCGGTGTCCGCGGGCCCCGGAGATAACTTGCGTCGCCCAGTGGCTCGGAGCGCAGAGCTCCCTGGAGCCGCAGCTCCCCACGCGGTCTTGGCGCGACCACACAGGACTGTGCATTATGACATCACCTGTTTTCGCTTTTTGGAGCCTGATCAGCGTTCTCTGCTTCTTTTTTTAAAGGTCTCTAGTGTACCAGGATTTATGAAGGCCTGCACTTCACAGAATGCATCTGTGATAATTTTAAAGACCATCCTACTGGTTTGCATTTGTTTTTCTTTTTAATTAAAAAAACACTGCTCTGGTTTCCTTAGGGATTTAGTATAGTGTTGTGATGCAAAGTCAGGAAGGTACACTTGGAGGAGCTAGCAAGTTTAGCATCAAAGCTATTAGGCCAAATTGTGCAGTTAAAACTGCCAATCTCGTTTGTTCACTGCTGTCTCCACTCTGTCCCTTTTAGAGATCAACACGTTAAATCAGGTCTACACAAGGAACAAAGGAAATGGAAATCTGCTGGTGTCAGATTTAAGTAGATCGAATTAGACTGGAAACTCTCCAAATAGTCTAAGTTATGTGGTTGGATAAATGTGGAGATTCATACAGTTAGTGATAACTAAAGGTTGCCAGGTGCTATGTCGACATAGATAATCTAGAGTAGCAGTGGTGTAGGAAAAGTGCTTAATACTCAGAAGAAACCATAAAAGCAAGGAAATTCAGCGAAGGGAGAATTTACCATACACATTTCAATGCAAAGAACCAAGAAATCTAGGCAAAAAGTCACCAAGGCATAGTTTTTCTAAAAATTAAAACATATCCGTTGCCATTTAGTGATAAATTTCTTGGGGTATAATCCTGGCTGTTTCTGTCTTTTAAAGCAAATTTTATGAGAATACATTTTATTTAGTTATTTTTTATTAGTAGATATGTGTAGAACATAATGTTTACCTTCCTTGTGGGAATTTGGTACATGTACATAATACATTGTAATTCCTTTTTAAAAATCCCATTTCCTTCCCCCTCATCTCTTAATCCCCTTCCTTTGTTTTTTGTCTTGTACATGTTCCCAGTACATAAGGTTTACAGTACTTGTGTGGTGTTGGTAAATGTTCATAACACACCCCAATTCCTTTTTTCATCCCTTATTCCTTCCCTCCCTGCCCCTTCCCTCCATCTCTTGATCTACTTTCCCTTTGAGAACAATCTATCCCTCTACTTCCTATTACCTATGTTTTATTTTGGTCTTTATTTTTACTCTGGGTTTCTCATAAAAGAGAAACTATGTGATATTTAACCTTATGTGTTTGATTTATTTCACTTAATATGGTCTCAAGGTGCATCCATTTTCCTATAAATGACTCAAGTTTATATTTATGACAGAATAGTACTCCATTGTAAGTAAATCCCATAATTTCTTTATCCATTCATCTGTTGATGGATATATGGGTTGCTTCTAAGATTTAGCTATTATGAATTGTGCTGGTATAAATATAAATATGCTCATATCACTGTAATATGATGTCCTTAACTCTTTCAGGAAGATACTTATAAGGAAAATAGCTGGATTAAATGGAATTGCTAGTTTCAGTTTTTAAAAAAATCTCCATACTGATTTCTATAGTGATTGTACTAGTTTACATTACAACCAAAAGTGTAGAAAGGTTCCTTTTTCCTCCATAGCCTCTCTAGCATGTGCTATTATTTGATTTCTTGATGATGGTTATTCTTTCTAGGGTAAGATGGAATCTCAGTGTTGTTTTAATTTCTCTATTGGACAGAGATGTTGAGAATGTCCTCATGTATTTATTGGCCATTTGTACTGTTTCTTCTGTGGAGCGTCTATTCATTTCACTTGCCCAGTTTTAGATTGGCTGTCTTTTATTTTGGGGGTTCTAATTTTTTTTGAATTCTTTATATATTCTAGATATGGGTCAGGTCCTCTGTCTGAGAAATCACAGACTTTCCCTTTCTGTAGGTTGTCTTCTCACTTGGTTGTTTCTTTTGGTGTGCAGAAGCATTTTAATTTAATATGATCCCATTTGTTGATTCTCAGAATTATTTCCTGTGCAGCTGGTATTCTCTTCAGAAAATCCTTGCCTATGCCTATGCCTTCAAGTGTTTTATCTATCTTGTCTTCCAGCAGACTGTTTCTCATCTAACATTTAGTTCTTTGATCCATTTTGATTTTAGTTTAGTACATGGTGAGAGATATAGGTCTGCATTCAATGTTCTGCATGTGGATAGCCAGTTTTCCCAACATCATTTATTAAAGAGGCTGTCTTTTCTCTAGTGTGTGTCATTTTGGCCCCTTTGCCAAAGAGCAAATAGTTGAATGTACTTGAAGTGGTTTCTGCATCTTCTATTCTGTCCTATTGATCCTCATGTCTGTTTGTATGCCAGTACCATGCTGTTTTTATACTAATTAATTTCTTTCTTTCTTTTTTTTGAGACAGGGTCTGGCTAGCTATACAGTTCAGGATGGCCTTAAACTCACTATGTATCCCAGAATGGTCTCAAACTCATGATGATCCTCCTGTTTCAGCCTCCCATGTGCTGGAATAGTACCATGCTCTTTTTTACCACAATAGCTTTTTAATATTTACTTCAAGTCTGGGATGGTGATGCTTCCCACTTTGCTTTTTTTTTTTTTTGGTACTGGGAATCAAACTTGAGACCTCATGATTGTGAGGCAGGCACTGGAACCACTGAGCTAAATCCCCGGCCCCACTTTGCTCTTTATATCCAAGATTGCTTTTGCCATTCTAGGTCTCTTCTGGTTCCATATAAAATTTAAGATTATTTTCTCCAGTTCTGTAAAGAATGCTGTTGGAATTTTTTAATTGAGATTGTGTTAAATCTGTATATCAATTTTAGAAGTATGGCCTTTTTGACCATAATGGTTCTGCCTATCCAGGAACAGGGGATATGTTTCCATTTTCTTATGTCCTCTTCAATTTCTTTTTTCAGGGTAGAGTAGTTTTCATTATAGAAGTTTTTCACTTCCTCAGTTTAATTCCTAAATATTTAATTTTCCTTGGTGCTATTGTGAGTGGTATTTTTCCCCTACTTTCTTTCCTATTGGATTCATTATTAGTATACAGGAATGCTATTGATTTTTATGTGTTGATTTTGTATCTTGCTAATTACTGAATTTGGTTAACTCTAGGAGTCTTTTGATGGATTTTTTGGGGAGGATCTTCTATATAGAAGATTATGTCATATATATATCATGTCATCTGCAAATAATTACAATTTGTCTTCCTTTCCTATACATATTGCTTTTATTTCTTTTTCTCGCCTGATTGCTCTTGCTAGAGTTTTGAGTACTATGTTGAACAGGAGTGGTTATAGAATATATCTTTGTCTTTTTCCTGATTTTAAAGGGAAAGTTTTCAGTTTCCCTTCACTTAAAATGCTGTTGGTAGTATATTTGTCATAAATTTTTTTTATCAGATTGAGATAAGATCCTTCTATATCTATTTTCTTCAGTGTTTTTATAAAGAACGGATGTTGGATTTTGTCAAAGGCTTTTTCTGTATCTATTAAGATAATCATTCTATTTTTGTTCTTGCTTCTATTTATGTGATGTGTTACATTTATTAATTTTCATACACTGAAACATCCTTGAGATGAACCCTACTTGTTCAAAAGTTTGTTCAATTCTCATATTTCTTAGTTGATTTCTTGTCTAATTGATCCATTTGTGATAGTAGAGTATTGAGGGCCCCCACTATAATTGTTTATGTCTATGTGATCTTTTATGTCCAATAGTACTTATTTTATGAAGTTGGGTACACTGTTGTTTAGTGCATATATGTCAATAATTGTTATCTTTTCCTATTGGATTATTTCCTTAACCCGTATGTAGTGAACTTCTTTGTCTCTTTTGATCAATTTTGGCATGAAGTCCACATTGTCTGAATGTAAGATAGCTACACCTGCTCTTTTTCAGATTCTTATGGCACAGAATATTGTTTTCTTTCCATCTTTGATTTTTAGTCTATGAGGGTTTTTTGGGGGGGGGGCGTAAAATGTGTTTCTTATGTACAGAATACTGTTGAATTTTGTTTCTTGATCCACTCTGGCAGTCTATGTCTTTTCTTGGGGAATTGAGGCCATTAACTTTGAGAGTTATTACTGATAGGTATTGACTTATTCCTACCATTGCCTTACTTTCATGTTGTTGATTCTCTATCTTTCCCTTCCACTTAATTGCTCACCCCATCTAGTGTATTTATTTCATTACATTTCTTGTCATTATTACCTTCATTGCCTCTTTTTAGGGTATCCTTTATAATTCTTTAGAGAGCTGGTTTGGTGGTCATGAATTTCTTTAGGAGTTCTGTATCATCAAAGTATCTTGTTTCTCCATCAATTTTGAAAGATTGTTCTGCAAGATGTCAGCCTGGGTTGGAAATTATTTTCTTTTAGGGCTTAAAACACTTCATTCCAAGATCTTCTGGTCTTTAAGGTTTGTGTTGGGAAGTCTGCTGTAATTCTAATGGATTTTCCTCTATAAGTGATTTGTTGATATTCTCTACCTGCTTTTAAGATTCCGTTCTTGGGTTGGACTGCCAGGATTTTGATTATAATGTGCCATAGAGAAGTTCTTTTCTGATCATTGCTATTTGAGGTTCTATATGTCTTACTTATCTGTATGTTAAATTCTTTTATTTGAAAAGTTTTTGGCTATTATTTCAGTCAACAGGCTTTTTTAATGTCATTTGTGCTATCTTTTGATTTTTCACTATTTTCAATTGACCTTAGATAAATCTTTGCATCATCTAGGAGCTGTTGGACTCATTTTTCATGTCCTTGCATTGTTTTGATGTCTTTCATTAATTGGTCACTGACAACAGCCCTGTCTTCTAGTTCTGAGACTGTTCTCGCATTGGTCACTTCTGTTGCCCAGACTTTCAATAGAATTTTAATGTCTTTAATTTCTATTTGGAGCCCTTTTATGAAACTCTATCCTATTCTATGCTGGTCATGCATGTTTTACATCATTTTGTTTAGCTTTTCTAGCTTTTTACTCTTCTTTAGACTTGCCAATGATTTTTTATTTGGCCCAATATCTTCTTACTTAAATATTCTGTGATCTTTCCAACTGCCTTATCGAATTGTTTTGTTTTCCCCCTGATACCATTATGAATAATTGATGTGTGAGGCTTTGGGTTTCCTCCTCTTCAACGCCCTGTGGATCAACTTTGGGGGAACTGGGGGTTTGGGGAGGCATTTTGTTAGATTGTCTTTTCATATTTCCATTTTTGTTTATTTGTTTTGTGTTGAGGCTTGTGGGTTTACTGTAGTGGAAAGTTTGTTTTCTAGTCTGGAATCCTTTTTAGTTAATGTCTTCTTTTCAGTGGTGTCCTCTGGGTATGGCAAACTACTGGCCTTTGCCTCTGTCCCAGGATCCAGCCACCTCTGTTTATTTGAGATGGGAAGTTGTAGCATGTTTGGCTCAGTATCCAGCTCTACTAGAATAGGCCACAGTATTATTAATGACCCCTAGGCAATCTAGATATTGGCATCTCAAGAAACCAATTAAAGCAACAGGTATGAAACCTTTGCCACAGTAATAAAATCAGCATCAATTATACCATTAAATACATTGACATTGAACAAATACATGAACATTGACAAATCCTGAGGACCAGTAAAATACCACCCTTGCCCACAGAAAAGAGATCTATAGTTATAGTATGAACACTAAGACAAATCAAATATTGACCTATAATTGACCTATGGTAAATATCTACTAAATGCAACAACATTACTTCTACTAACAATAGCACAGTATTCAGCAGCAATAGTGTAAAATTAACTATTTATTCATAAAGCTTAGTACTTATACTAGTAAACGTGGGGGTAGGAAACTGGAATAAAAAAAGCAAAATTTGAAAAATTAATTGGTAAAATAGGAGAAAAAGGAGAGAAAAGTGAGATAAAGGGTCTTGTTATTGAATAAAAGGAACTTATTAGTGGCAGAGAACAGTTGTTGGAAAGAGTGAATAAAAAAAGAAAAAAAAGGTAAAAGGAAATAATAGGAGATAAAACAAGGAAGAGAAAAATTGGAAAGGGAAAAGATAAAAAGAATGAAAGGAGGAAAAAATTGGAGAAAAATTCCAATCCTCAAAAAACCTAATGAAGGAAAGCTAATAATAATACAAAGTAGGAAAATCTAAAAAAGATTGAGTCAAAGAAAATATTCCTATGTTTTTGAGTGAGTGGTTTCTTTCTATGGTCTGCAGTCTTGGGATCCAGCCAGACACTATTTTCTCTGCCTAACTTTAGATTCTAAGGGCCTGTGAGGTGCCCTCCTTGCACTACAGGCCCTTCAATTCATTCCTCAGACTGTGGTTACCATTTAAACCACGGTGTGTCCTTGCATAATACCATTGTTCTATCTAGAACAAGGAAGAAGTTTATTTTGAGACAGGGTTTCACCATGCAGTTCAGGCTGGCCTTAAACTTTCTGTGTAGCCCAGGCTGGCCTCGAATTTGCCATAATCATCTTGCCTCAGCCTCCCAAGTGCTTGTATTACAGACATGTGCCACCACATCCAGCACTATTTGTATTATTTTCTTAACTTTTGTCACCACTATAAACTGTCTCTAGTATGTAAATTACTGATCTGTTCATTTTTATTCTTTATTGTGAAACATGAATTAAAAACAAATTTGTTAGCATGTGCAAGATAGGTAATTTGCACATGTGTTAGCATGTGCAAGATACCACTGCAAAAAAGGAAAAATATTAATTAGCATTTGGGAGACTGAGGCAGAAGGATAAGTTTCAGGCCACCCTGGGCTACATCATGAGAACCTATCTCAAAATAAACAAACAAAAAATCGAACCAAAGAAAAAAATTAGTTAAATAAATAAAAATAATTTTGTCATCTCCTGGTCATAGCAAAAGTTGAGCAAAGGGCTCAAGTACAAGGAATATCATAATGTATGACAATATAGGTACCCTGACTACATATACATAAATACACACACATATTTCTCAATGAGGAGGACAACTGTCAACCTATGAAGAGACTATGTTCTTTTTTCTGATAAACCCCCTTCTTGTCCTAACTCACCTCATGTCCCTTCTTATTGTTGTTTTAGATCAAAGAGGCCAAAGGGAATGTGGCAACAGTGGAAGGGCAAGGAGTCATGGTAGGTACATTGAGTGTATTTTCTTTGGTGCTCAGTATCACAATGAGGCAAAGAGCCCAGGTTTTAGAATCAGACATGAATTTAAGTATTAACTTGCCCTTTTCCAGGTATATGTCCTTGAGCAAGTTACTAAGTGTGTCTATACTTCAGTTCCCTCATCTGTAAAATGGAGTAATAATGTATCTGAAAGGGTGATTGTAAAGATGGAATGAGATAATGCATTGTAATATTCAACAAGATAACTAGAACACTGTAAGCACTCAGTAAATGTTTGCTGTAAGTTGCCATAATATAAAGGATGTTATGCTTTCTGCATATTGTGTGACTTTCATCTGTTTGCTTTTCTGTGTCTCAATTTTCATCATCTGAAAAATGAGGATAGTAAGATTAGTCTTGTTGCTTTGAAGATTAGATGAGTTCTGTGTAAAACATTTAAATCAACCAGTGGCTTATTAGAAATGTATTAGAAGTCCTATAATTATATCCTGTTGTCAGAAGATTTTTTTTATATTTGCCTCTTTTTTTAAATAATGAAGATCTTTGATTTTTGTGGTATTTGTTCTCAGAAGTAATATATAGCAAAATAGAAAGAGCTTTGGGGGCCCGGGATTTAGCTCAGTGGTGCTGCACCTGCCTTGCAAGTGCAGGGTCCAGGTTCAATCCCTGGTACAAAAAAAAAAAAAAAAGAGCATTGGACAGAAAGGCAAGAGACCCAGAGTTTAGTTTAATACTGCTATGAACTGCTGTATATGATATTGGGACTCGGTTTCCTCATCTGTTACATGTGAAAGGGTGATTAAGTTGGGTCAGAATAGTATATGATGAAAGCCCCTTCTAACTCCAAGTTCATTGCTTAATGCATTCTTGCATTAAGGCATTAATTCATTCAACATATATTTATGGAGTGCTCACTAAGTATCAGGCCTCTTTGGCTAGTCAGAGAGATAGAGTGCTGAACACAAGAATCAGAATTTAAAACCTAGCCCAAAAAGTGGATTTTAAGCAAGTAGTACAAATGTGTTATAAGTGTTATGTAGGGGGGAAAAAAAAAGCAGGGAATATGTAGCATGGGACTCTAACCTGGTCTAGGCCTCCCAATGAAGAGAACTATAAATCCAAATAGTGTGCTATCAGTAGTTTTGAACAATGACTTCCAGGTATTTCATCCAGAAAGTCATTTCCATTTGCAATCCTCATCTTAATGTTTCAATTCCCCCTTTAAGATAGGTCATGTTTCATTTAAAAAAACTCATGAGTCCTGTCTTTATCATTGCAGTAGACAAATATATGCAGAATGAAATCTGCCCTCTGTATTGGAAATTCACCAAATTTTAATCCCCTTTTCCTGATTAAAGAATCTTAGTTTATTATCTTATACTTAGCCCACCACTCTACTGAGTTCCATTTGTATGTGTGCAAATTGTCTGCATAGACCACTTCTAGCATGTATACCTATATTATCTTAAGATTGTGAAGTACTTAAAGATATAATTCTCATATTTCTAATCTGTATTCTCTAATCTTCATAATACTCATTGAGGTGATAATAATTATAGATATAGTAATAGAAGCAACCACTACTATTTCCTGAGTACTTTGCACCAATCATTATACAATAATGTATATACATTATCGTGCCTAATATTCATGAAACCTCCATGAAGTAGTTATATTACCTTCATTTTGCATATGGTTATGGGAATGAAAGTTTGGTCAAAGTCATAGTTATTACAAGGCAGAGCTGTAATTTTAACCAGTGTTTGACCAGTGCCACCTACATTTATAATATTATGTAATTCTTTTTTTTTTTCATTATTCAGTAAGTCACTACTGTAAATATTTTTTTTCAGTGAATGCTGTATAAGGTTACTTAACTCTCAGGTTGATTGGACTAGATCTCCTATACATTCACAAATACAATTTGGCACTCTGTGAATTGGGTACCTATTGAAATAAATGCTGTGGGCTTAGGCAAGGAAGTATTCATTATTTCCTATAGTAAGTAAAATAAAGCAACTGGTGATCTTTGGATAATGAAAATACTTTCATTGGCAGACTAAATGAAAATTTCAAATGTTTGAGATGTAAGTCTGAAGATTCTTAGATATGTGGCTAGTCATGGAGATAAAGTAATGGACCAGATGGAGATAAAGTTGAAGGAAAGGGTAGGGGAAAGAAGAGCTGTTGCTGCTTTCACATGCTGTATCATCAAGGCAAATCCAAGTCTATTGCAGTTATCTGGGATTAGGTTTACTAAGAAAAAAGACAGACTTGTTTCCATATAATCTGCCAGCAAAGTTGAAATTTTTATGTCAACCTTTTCCCATTCATTGCCTCCTTGACTTCATTCTGTATTCCTGCTTTAAAGTATTCTCTACATCATTTGGGTATCTCTTGTCTTAGATGAGTGGACCAAAGGATGGACACTTGCAGACAGTTATTTTGTAACCTGGCCATCCATCTCTACAGAGTAGTTTAAAATTATAATCTGAGCCAATAAGATTCTGTTTTTGGAAATTTGGCATTGGGAAACTAAGCTACTAAGCCAGTTGGCAGCAAAGTCAGATTCTGAGAGGATGTCATGAACCATATGTGAACTAAAATTATGAAGGAACAGAATCGATAAAGAGTGAAGAGGGAGGAAGTTGTTTGGAAAAGGAGGATGGGGCAATGCCCAGTAAAAAAGCAAAGATGTTAGGACACTAGTATTTAGAGTTGACTTAAATTCTGATGGGTTCCCACTTTCAGCCCCGGGGTATCCTTGTAGTAATTCCCTTCACCCAACTTAATCTTCTTCCACTGCTAATTTTCTGAAGTAACTAAGTGTACCTTTGTTTCTTTCAGCCAGAAGACACTGACTAAGACATTCCTTTGTTTCCATGTCAAGCACTTACAAATATAAAATATATTACTCTTAGTTCTCATTAGTAAATGGATGTGAAAGTAAGACATTCCAAAAAGAAAGAAGTTGAATTCACAGAGCCAGAAAGCCCCACATAAAATATTCCTACAGCCTAAGTTCCAATAATAAAGTGTGCTGTGCACAAACCTTAAACTTTTTACAACCTATTTTTTGTTCCTGGTTGGAGAAGAGTGATCAGTAATATATTACTGAAACTGCTTCTCCTCTCCAGGTTTAATATTAAAATGACTCTAATATGTCTATGCTATCAACTACCTGAAATGAAAACTTTGAGACAAAGGCTTTCCTCCTTTCTACTCAATAACCTTCATTTAGACTTAATGCCTATGGGGCCTAGGTAATGATTTTCTAGAGTTTATGAGCCAAAAAGATAAAAAAGTGAAAACAAACAAAAATCAAAGTTAAATTTCTTCAAGTTTCCAAGAATTAAGTAGTCAAGAAAAAGATAAAGCAAATGAAGGGAGCTTTGTGTCAAGAGGCAAGTTGAAGATCATAGTGATGTCTGCATGGGATGTTAAGGGACCAGGCATATACTAGGAGGTCATATTATTGTGGAAATATTAACATGTATTAATGTTTTCATTTGACCCAGTTTTCCAGATTTGTCTGAACAACTAGATGATTTGTTTTTATAGAGCCAATCACTAGCTTTAGAGAAGCTAATCTTAATAGATTTGGAATTTTCTTGGTTTCCATTCTTGAACTTCATATTCCTCATCTTTTCCGGAGCCAGTTTTTCATTCTCTTTCCTTCTTTCTCTCCTTCCCCCTGTCTCCCTTTACCACTTCCCCTTTCCTCTCCCTTTCCATGTACCTCTTCCCCCTCTCCTCCTTCATTCTCTACTTTATACTTGGCTCAGCAAACCTTGAACCTGTTTTCCAGCTCTTGAGTGAAATAGTTGTTAGGATTTGCTATGCCCTTGGAAAATAAAGGAGGCATTTCACTTGTACAATGGGGTTCATCTTTGCAGATATGGTAAAGAAAAGAAAATGGTCCCCTGGGCAACACTAGAAGGATTGTAATTGTGCCATTCTTGCATTGTTGAGATAGTGCTGTGCTTTTTCTATATATACAGGACCTGTCACGGCATTTTCTATTTCTCAGTGAAGACATGAACATTTAGAGAGTCACATGTCTGTGGGAAACTACAAAGCCTAGGAATAAAGGCAGCTAGGAAGATTCTTATATTATACAAATGTAACTTTAGCTATGATCTGAAATGGATTGCCAAGGACTTCTATATGGATGAAATTGAAATTTTTTGTACATCAATATTGCATAATCTAGTCACTGTTAAAATACTCTTCAAACTTCACTTTTAGTACTTTAGTACTTTTAGGGTTTTGTGAGGATTAGATGATAAGATGTAAAGTGCTTAGAATAATATTCGTCCTATTATGAACTCTCAGTAAATGTTAGCTATTTTATTTTTTAGACATTTCATACAATAATGACTTTTTCAATAACAATTGAAATTAACTTGAATTTTAATGTTTTAGGTTCCCTGATATCACTTGCCAAGACGGTTCATTTTGATTGAAAAGGCCCTCATGTGCTTGATAACATGCAGGCTTTATCATTAAACACCTTCACTGCACTTATGTTTGCAAAGTACATTTTTGTCTTATTAGTCTGTCTAATCACAATCTAAGATAGAGAATTCAGTGTCAGGGTACTGTTGAGTAATGAAAAAGTTAAGGGGCATAGAGAAATTAAATGACAAGAATATATCTCTCCTTCTAACCTCTCTCTAGTTGAAGAAAGATGATGACTAGAATTTGGATTTGCATGTGTGTGCAGGTTAGTGGGTTATGCTCACACACATATGTACTTTTATGTGTCCTACTCTCAACTAATTATCTTTTTAAAAGCTGAAGATAGGACTTATTCTGTAAGCTTTTAAATAAAGAATTACAGTTTTACCACCTAATGAAAAGGAAACATTCCCATTTGAAGGCTTGAATTCTGAAGTAGATTGCTTTGGAATAATTAAAAACCAGTGCTGACTAATCATAGCTAGTGATTCCAGTTTTATTCTGTAGGAGACAACTACTTTTTTTGATAGGAACAAAATCACAAAAGGTAATATGTTCAATATATTCCTTATGACTAAAGAAAGAACCTAGCCCTATTATAAACATTGTAGGTTTGCCTTTATAACTATAGGGTTGGTCTGAGAGGGTCCTCTGGTTGGTGTAATAGGTAGAGTATGGAAAGCCTATACCAAGTGCCACAGGTTCTGTCTTAGTGTGTGGGGTGGTTTGTTTTGGTTTTTTTGTTTTGTTTTTAGTACTGCAAATTGAATCCAGGGCTTCCTGCCTGCTAGGCAAGTGCTTTACCACTACTGGTGAGCTATAGCACCAGTCATTTTTATTTTATTTTGAGACAGGATCTTGCTAAATTTCCCAGGCTGACTTTGAATTTGCAATCATCCTGCCTTAGACTCCAGAATAGCTGGGATTACAGGTACACACCGCCAAGCTGTGGTTCTTGTCGATGCTTCTTGTGATTGCCTTCTGTTTATAGAAGCCTATGTATAAGTTTGTATGGGATATCAGGTAGATGCCTTATTTGTTTCTTGATTGTTTACAAAATCAAGAATGCTGGCTACAGAATATTTATACTATTGTTTATCAAAGAATTTACTGGGGGAAAAGATAAGCAATTTATCTGCTAAAAATATTGTTGTCTATGTATGTACATGAACAATATCACATTATTGGGTCATAAATAAATGATTTTGTTCTCTTAAGATAATGGTGCTACTCATTGAGGCGATACTCTTAAGTGAAATAAATAGGACACACATGTATAAATACCGAATAGTTTCTCTGGTGTGAGAAACTCAAAGTGTAAATAAGCACTAAATGTATAATAGGTAATGTGAAATAGGAAGAAAAGGGGCAAAGGGGAAGGAAGTGGGAGGGCTAGGGGAAAGGATAGAAGGGAATGGGATTAATATGAGAAAATGGAAAAATAGGAACAAAATCTTTATAAATAGGGAGGAATGGAGGGGTTGAAGGGGGAGGGCTGGGCAAGGGTGAAAAATAAGAACCAAGAGAGACTATGTAAAGGTGCAAATTTCCAATGATGAATGTCATTATATTGTATACCTAAACTGTACCAATGATTAGAATGAATAATCGATAATGTAAAATAAGAAGAAAAGGTCCAAAGGGGTAGGGGTAGTGGGAGGGTCAGGGGAAAGGAAAGAAGGGAAAGGAAAAATGCTGAGAAATGGAAAAAATGGAAATAAAGTCTTTGTAAATAGGGAAGGGTGGAGGGGGTGAAGGGAGGGCTAGGAATGGGGAAAAAATAAGAACCAAGATGCATTATATAAAGGTACAATTCCCAATGAGAAATGTAATTATGTTGTATACCTACAATGTACCAATAAAAGAATTTAATAAGATAATGGTGCTACTAATTCAGGTTAATTTCTCCTTCCTCAGATTTATGAGCATACTTTCTACAGTTCTTTGCCTGTTGGGCAGTGGCTTCCCACCATCATTGTGCGGGGCTTTGGCAACATCATTTAACTTCTATTCTAAAGTGAGACCTGGTGAATTCCTAAGAGCACATGCATCCCCAAAACCATGTGCTCTGATCATGTCACCACTGTTTCAGGATTTTCATAAACACTTTTGACAATATTACATCATTACATGGCCTTTTACATGTCTCTTGCTTTTCCCCGTTACTTATCTGATCTACTTCCAATTTTTCATGTTCTCTTATCCCTATTATTAATCTGCTTCTTTCCACATGATCTGCCCTACTTCCTATCACTTCTAACTATAAAACAGCCAAACCATACTACCTTGGCTTTATTGTTAAAAATTCTTTTCAAAAGTCACCCAAATTATTCTGGTAGCAAAGTAGAAGAGCTTAGTATTTTTGCAGTGAAAAGCCCAGAGATGACTTATGTAAATTTGGCCTGCCTTCTAGCTGTAGTTTATGCTCCTGTCTGGGGAAAGTTGTAGTAGATTTTGTTTAGACACAGTTTGGCCCTCTGTGTTTAGTGCTGCCCACACTGAATCAGCTAGTTTTTGTTTTTTTTTCTTTTAAAGCAAGCATCCTTGAGGAGTGGTAATGGAGACAATAGTGGCATTCATCTGGTTGAATACCTGCAGGTTATCTCTGGGCTTGTCCAAAAGAGAATTTGAACTCCAGTCATATTCTGAAAGGAGACCATTTTCACTGTTAGATTGTAAACCCAATGGGGGTACACATATCTATTGAGTTACAGTTCATTCATGTATATCAGATGCTATGGAATAGAGCCTCTCCCATTGTAGGCTTTCAATGAGTCTTTTCTTTTTAAAATTTTTTTTTTGGTACCAGGGATTGAACTCGGGTCCTTACACTTGCGAGGCAGGCGCCGAACCACTGAGCTAAATCCCTGGCCCTCAGTAAGTCTTTATTAATTTGAATTCATACCTAATGAACTTATTAATTAGTTTAGTAAAGCACTGTAACAGGCTCTTTTCCATTAAATAGCACACTATCAAATGAGTATGGCAGAACAGATATTAATGTACTAATTAAAATACACAGGAAAAAGTGATCTTTGTGCCCATCATGTGACATTGCATGAATACACATTTCTGAGGCCTCTAAGCATATTTTAGAGAACAGGATTAGGCACAAATTAGGAATATCCTAAAATTTAAGGAAGATCTCAGACTTGAAGAATAGTAGATAGAAATTTATTTTTTAAATGGAAATATGAAATTGATAAAGTATCTGTTTACCTGAACACTAAGTATTTTCTCAGGACTTTAGTGCTATCATTCTGATTTAAATGAACAAATGAATGTTTTAGAGTGGATAAGATCCTTTCCAAATTTAAAATTTATTTCAGTTTTTTTTTTTTTTTACCAGTACTGGAGATCGAACTCAGGACCTTGCGCTTGTGAGGCAAGTACGGTGCCACTGAGCTAAATCTCTGGCCCCTCAAATTTAAAAATTATGAGATAATGATTATAAATGATTTAAAAATATAGAATATAATTAGACTGAAGACTTTATTCTCTCTTCTTCAAAATGGACTATCCCTAGAACAAAAGATCTTAGCCTAAAGTCTATGGTTGTACTGCCTTGTATTTATTAATTTCCTAAAACTGTGTGCATACATTTTGTATATGTGCATTCTTTCCCTTGATGGACAAGGATCCATAATGTACATCAAATTCCCAAGGTAATTTGATACTCCCCAACTTTATAAAACTACTGGATCAATATTTTAGATAGTCTTTGTAAGATATGGTGGAACATTTTGTATATATCAGATATTATGCTAACCATTTATATACATTAGATCATTTAATCCTAACTTCATAATGCCATTACTTTTCTGAGGAGTAAGTTAAATTTATTAGTTATATAGCTGGTAAGGGGTGGAATTGGAGTACCAACCCAGGTGGAACCAAAGGGCCCTGTTTTTATTCATTATATAAGAACTTTTGGGTAGACAGAACATTTGCTAAGAACCAGAGTACTTTCATTCTTAGCCGTAATTTCCCCCGAAACCATCTTTCATATAGTAACTGCTTCCTAAGCATCCTAAAGCCTTCCCACACTGAAGCAATCCTCCTCTGTGGAACCAGCCTTCTAAGCAAAACAGTAGCCCTCTCCAGACTGCTCACCTCAGTTTTTTTCCATTATGCAGCTAGGCAGGAGTAAGCAAAATTTTATCTTAACTGTCGATTCTAGACTCAAGTCTGGCCACATGGCACAAATGAGCAACCCATACATTTGGAGAGTCTCCAAGAAATCCATCCCAAGCACTGAATGGACCTGGCCTTGTTCCAAACTTTTACTAACCTTCCACAAATTGTGATTCCAGACACGTTTATACCTTGGCCCCCAGGATAATGAAAGCCACAAAAGAGGCAGAAATTAAAATGTCAGTCCAGCTGGGCCCACACTGTGGACCAGCAATTACAATGGAACCCATTGCTTCTTAGGTCACCTGAGGGGAGGACATCTGTGCTTCCTGCAGAAAGAGTGACAAAGTCATCCAGAGCAGTTTCCTAGCTTTTTTTCAACTCACTGTAAATAGTGTGCTACTTGTCAACAGCAACAAAGCAACAGGAAAAAAACATTTTTTAAAAAATCAGAAAGCATCGGTCAGAATTCTGGTGAGATTTATCATTCAGCTACCTCTGCTATTGTTCAGGGGCTAAAGAACCTAAAATATATGACTATGGCTGGAGAGTAAGACAAAACATTATCATTCTGTTGGAGGAAAGCAGGAAGATTACCCAGAGCCCCTCACTTACTTCAGATTCTGAAGAATGGGCAATATTCACTCTGCTATTACACATAGAGGAAAAGAATATCCACAGAAAAAGTCATACCTGACAGGTCATAGCTTTGTGGTATTGTGACAAAAGTTGAAGGCATCAACCTGGGAAAAAGAAGAAATACTGAGGACTAAAGTGAGAATTATGGGTGACAGGGATGCTGTGGGAACAGTGATATTGCTAATCTCCTCACTTTCTCCTTAATTTCTTACAGCTCCAGCAACTGATGGAAGCCATTCATTTGGCCTGAAGTAATCTGTGTTTTCTGTGCCTCTGAATGTGCCAATTTCAGTGTCTATGATGGCAAACTTGTGAGTCTTTGCTATGTTCGAAACTGAGCACTCCAAGCAAGTAGATACTTCTGGTATGCCAAGGAAAGACAGAGATTACTCCAGCAAAAGTAACCTTCCTGCCAATCTACATTATAATTCTAAGAGGCATCTGGTCAAGTTAACCAAGAAAACATATTTGATCATGGAGGAGCTTAACTGACCCGTTTCACTATACCTTTTTATATCTTGATAGAACAATATGGATATGGGTTATTTTCTTAGAGTACTTGCCACCTGCTTTGTGATTATGTTTTTAGTTGGCTTCCTTTTCCACAAGATTATAGGCTTCATGATGACAATTTTATTCATCATTCTATCCTCAATACAATAATTTTGGGGGCAAAGAAATGAATTTAAAAAGTCAGCACAAAAAAGTCTTCCAGTCTATGCCATAAGAATAGTGAATGCTCCTCAGGTTAGTAAAATGTGGATTGCATTACTTGGGAGTTTCTAATAACTAGTGATTGTAAGCTAAGTTTGCATTATGTGTATATGCAACACTGAATATAGTTTTGTTTTGGAACAGGAGCAAGCATTCAGGCTGCAGTGGATAACTACTGTTTTGTCCTTTAGCTCTTGTTCTTCCTTTGGGTAGCTCCTGGCTGTGTGGATCTGAGCAATTTCTTGCCCCTTTACTCTCAGCTCTATCCTTGTCTTCTTGCAATTGCACCTCCAGCAGGTACAATGGGTCCAGCATTGGTATGTGAGTCTCTGTTCCTCCAGGGAAGCACCTTTCCCAGGGACATGAAGCTTTGTTCAGCTCCAGTCCCAGCTGGTCTTGTCAGAGGATTTCTAGAACAGGAGGCTGTTGTGTTTCCTTGGAAAAAAATGATCTGGACCTGTGGGGTGTCTACACAGAAGCCACACAGGAGGGGGTGTGGTTGGGGACAGAAAGAGAAAGGGAAAAAAGGGAGGGTCCTTTTGAAACCAATAAAAACAGCAAATCACCCACAACTTTGTTATCTTTTTTTCTGTCATTTGCCACAAAAATAGCCATAATTAGTACTGAGACTATGCTAAGTCTTGGTCTTGTTAAGAAATTCTTTATTTTACTGGACTGAAATCAGCTGCTCTGAATATAATCTAGCTTCTGAAGGAAGAGAGAGGTAACTCAAATGTATGTAATCTCTCTTCAGTCTGAAAGCTTCATATAATTGGGCTTGTATTTTCATTCTTTCATTCAATAAATATTTACTAAGCCCTTACTATTGTGGGGACATCTTTGCTCAAGGTTATATATTTAGATCACTCTTTGAACTCTTTATCTAATCACAGGGATTCTGAACCCATACTAGTATTTTTTCTTTACTGGAACTCTACTATGTCAAATTATTCCCGTTTAAAATATGGCATCTGGAGCATACATGTCAGCATTACTTAATTTGTGTTACACATTTAGTAAGTTCCAGCCATATGCCAGGCTCAAAGTAACACTTCTCCCTTAGAGAGGGAGAAACGAAAGAGGTAAAAGCAAAAAATTCATCAGAGAGAACTCTTGATGGAGCCATGAACGCCTTACTGAGGGATGGTTTTGTTTTTTTTTTTTTCCTATGAGGTAACATGAAATCTCTACAATTTTGGAAGAAGGGAGACAACATGATTAGGATTACATTTTAGAATGACATTTTGAAGGTTTGTGGCCCAGGGACTGGACTTCTAGAAAACCATGGCAGAAAGACTACCTGTAACACTAGCTGGTCTCAGTGAGAGGTGCAGAGGAATCTCACTAAGGCAATAGCTGTGAGGATGGGAAGAAAAGGATGGCTATAGCAGTGAGGACATGTGGGTAGGCTATCTTGCAGATCTTTTCAACTCAAGGTTGGTCAGAGGACAAATAGCATCAGTAGTCTCTGTACAAATCAGAATCTGCAGGTTAAAAAGATCCCCTACATCTTCCACCAGCACATTAAAGTTGGAGGATCAATGACCTAGCTACATGGCATACACTGTTGAAGACACAATACAGCTGAGGTCACAGAGTTCACACTTCAGTAGGGAGATGGGTTTGATTACTGCTAGAAAGGTGAAAAATAGGGATGTGGGTTCGGGGAGCTTTCCCTGAATCAGTTAAAAAGAAAAGCAGTAAAACAGGTAGAGTAGGTAGGAAAAAAGTGTGTGTGTGTGTGTGTGTGTGTGTGTGCACGTGCCCCATGCAAAGAGCCCGGCATTTGTGAAGAGTAGAAAAGGCACAAACACCTTGAAACAATAGCAAGAGTCATAGCAGTTTGTGAGCAAAGAGGAGAGTGTATAAAGTGTGGTGTGAGGTCAGTCAAGAGATAACATCCAGATTTCTAATCATGCAAAGGATTTTGATTGTTATCTTCAGAAGAAAATGGGAGGAAAAAGCCAGAGCAGTGTCAGAAAAGCTGTACAAAGAGAGGAACAAACACAGGCCTCTTTGAGTGTTCTGACCACAGCCCCTTCACTGGTGGATCCTATTGCTTTAAGCATTTTTAGTTTTGACTCCATATAGGAAAGATTTATTGAACATATTGTTTGAATTAGACTTTATTCTAATAAAAGGAGAGATATTAAAATATATGAGATGTGATCTTTGCCCTTTAGGATATTCCAGTTAGTAATGACATTCTGCTTCATTAGAGAAGTTTATGCATAGTCAAACCAGGAAGAACTTCTAGTTAATCATTTGCTGTATCTTCTCACATGGACTACTTCTAAACCAGTTTTCCCACCTCCTGTTCTTATATTCAGTATTTAATTTTTTTAAATACAAAATTTTGCATTTTTCTTGGTTTCAGGCCATTTTCCTAGCCTGCTATTTCTTTCTGAATCTTGCTTCAGTCATCATTTTGCTGGCTCTCTCTTCCAACTTTATTCTGCGTGCAGATCTGATGAACATGTCTCCTTTTTGTTAGTATAAGACTCTACTTAAAAAATTGGTGACAGGAAAAAAAAGGAAAAAATGCAAAGAAAGCTTATGTAAATAGGGAAGGGAGAGAGGTTGAAGGGATGGAAGGGGAATGAGAAAAAAATAAGAACCAAGATATATCATGTACAGGTATAAATTCACAATAATGAATGTGATCATAATGTATACCTAAAATGTACCAATAAACTTAAAAAAAATTGGTGAGAGGTTTCAAGAGTTCCTTTATCCCCTTAGTATGGCAGTGGGAGAAAGCTCTTTCCAGGGCTTGATTAGTCAGTGTACATTAGAATGCCATATGACATTTTGTCCTGACACACATCTTCCTATTTTGAAGATAGAGACAAATGCCTATTTATGGATATACAACACCTGTGAATAGCTACATCACAGTATTTGTGACACTACATTTTCACCTTCTTATACACTTACCAGTAAAGTGCTGGTGTTCTTTTCATCACTGTATGATGGGCATTCAATAAATATTTGTTTAGTAACTTAACCCCCATGTGTTCATAGACATACAGAAATTGTGCAGGGCAGACAAAGCATTTTATAATTTTTTTGAGGGTTCAAATATAAAGTTTATCCCCGCAGGTGGTTCCCAGGTCTGCAGCCAGTTTAGCACTGTGTGAGTTAGGAGCTGAGGCTCACATTCTTTCCTCACATTCATTCCTCAGAGTTGGCTCCACCAATTTCCTGATATTTTATAGAAATTTTTAGCCTCTTCAGTTTATCTCAGAGTGTCTACAAGTGACACAGTGAAGTCAAGTGAAGTCGATATCCTTAGCTATATCACTGATACTCAATTTCGTGGACAGGATATAGCCAGAAGGCCTTGAGTTTGCTAATACAGTTCTGATTAACAGATATGTACAATATCATGAAAGTCACAATATAATTCAGAAAACTAGCTGCCAAAATTAAAAATTATCTTTGATGTTAATTAGCCTGAGAGATTTGTAGTTTATCATTCTGTCTTGGCATGTTTCACTTTTTTGTTTGATTAAACTATGGATATCACTGGTACATTTGTTTTTTGGTACCAGGGATCGAATTCAGGGCCTTGCCCTTGCGAGGCAGGTGTTGGAACCACGAAGCTAAATCTCCAGACCACTGGTACTTATTTTTAAAACTTACTTTCATTAATTCTTCACTGCCTTGATTGTTTTCTTACTGTATCTGAGTTCCAGTTTGGCAAAAATACTTGGTAACTTTTATTGAAATTTCTCTACAACCACTTACCAGTTCTATGTTATGGATTTCATAGGTATGAGCCTATTTCAACCCTCACCAATGAGACGCAAGTATACTATTGATTTATAAAAAATGAAATGGATGGGAAAGGTTAAATCACTCATACACCTATTCTGATTTCCACCCCTTTGCCTAGTATGCTGGTGTGTTTGCAGAGCTGAGGTTTGAATGAAACCTCATCCTATAGCTTGAAATTTTAACCTAGCACACACAATTTTACTTGGGGATCAAAGACATAGAGTGCTATATTGAAAGTGTCCTTAGAAATCATCTAGCTCAGAACATAATATGTAGATTTGGTTGACTCTGCCACATTCTGGGCAAAATGAACCCCCTATTGGAGGGCAAAAGATAGGTAAAGAAAAGGGGTAGAATAGGGATCAGGGCTGGGTGGGTTAACTCTAATCCCAGACTCCTAGGAGAGGGCACTCATTCCTGAAGCTTAATAATTGTGTGGATATTATGCAAGCCTTTAAACCCACATTGATGTGTTTCCTCATCAATAAAATACTTAATTAGTAATGAAATGAGGTTGGCATCTAATTTTAGTTTTAACTGCCACCAATTAGCTATGTGACATACGAAGTTATTTGAACATTTACTGAGAGCTAACACTGTGCCATTTTAAAAGAAATGCATTTCAGGCAAAAGGGTATTAGAACCACAGGTCTACTGTGTCCACTGAGTAGCAAGGGGGTAGGGGGATGTCAGGACTGCCCAGGTTCACTCTGAAGAGGTGATGAGCCAAAGACTCTTTTTTTCAACATGAAAAATTATTACATTAAAAAGCTCAGAGAACCCCAAAGTATAAGTAATTTAAACAGCAAGATAAAACATAGATGACAACAAATAGGGAGGTAGACCTTTGGAGATGGGAGGACATCTAGGGATGAGGGAAGGGGAGAGAAGGGAAGGGAAAGGGAAGGAAAAGGATTAAAATTATATGTATGTATGTATGTATTAACTTCCCATGATAAAGGTTTTTCACCGTGTATCATACACATGTACTAACAAAAATTGTTAAATAAACTAAAATAACATAGAAAGATAAAAGTAAGTTTCTGTTTCCACAGACAGCAAAAATGTCTGATGTGAAGATCTGAGTATGTGAAATGAAGCCAGTTTTAGTGAATTTGTTTTGCTGAAATGAGAGCAACCTGCATGTACCTAAGTCACACACAGGAAGCAGAAGAACTGAGGGTCAGGGGACACATGACCCCACAATGACTGAAAAGGGAAAAGAGGCAGCTATTGAGAAGATGAGAGAAACATGTATGCAAAATGTATGAAATCAACTATGCATTTTGTGAAGCGTAAGTCACAGTACTGTGTTTTGGACCTGTAGTCACAAAGACTGAGATAGAAAATAAAAACCTCCGCTTCTGTGTGCGAGTAATCGGTGCTTACCCCTCACTGTCCCCTTCCCTTCCTTCAAAATTTTAATCTCATGGGGCTTGATTGAAGGACTCTCAGTCTCATTTAAAAGTGAAGATGGGCGAGGGAACACTATTTTCACCTGTACAAGCCAGATGTGGCAGCCTCCATGGAGAAAATGTACATTTGTTTTTTGTTAGGGGAAGTTTTTTTTTTTTTGCTCTGTTTATGTAAAAATAATGTAGAGTACCTGACATATTTCAAAAGTGTATTAAAAATTGAGGGGAAGAAGGGTTTGGTGCAATGAATGAGATGAAAGAGAAAACTGTGCCAGGCGAGATGAAAGCCATGCAAAGAGCAGTTAATCATCCCAGCCTGAGATAAACAAGAGAGATCCAGTGTCTCCACAGAGACAAGGAGGAGCCCAGCTATTCACTGCAGAAATATCTCTAACGTTGAAGTTACTGAGCTCATTACTAAGCCTACTATTTCTGCTCTGTCCAAGTCATCCTATTAAAACTTAAAATAAGCCTGCAACTGGATAATCTTACCCTTATAGAAGTCTTATGTAATATATGCAAATGAACATTTGAATTATTAGGCTTTTTTTTCTTAAAGTTGTACTTAAGTAAAATCTTGTGAAAGCCTACAAATTTCTAAAAGAAATGTGCATCTAAGAGCATCTGTAAAAAAGCCCTGAAAAACAAGGCAGTCTTGAGAGCTACCACAAGGTTCAGAAGAAAAGGCCTGTATGGACAAGGGTTGCTGCCTCCCGGCACTGGCTTATGTACTTATTTTGAACCAGCCCCTGCAAATCACTTAGGCCCCAGAACTGAAGTGTGCTCTATCCAAGTGGAGAGAGTTCAGAAACTAGGGTCAGAAACCCTGAGTTTGAGTCATTGCCTTGTTATTTATGAGCTATGTAGTTAACAAAGAATTTAATATTTGGGGGGTTTATTTTCAGTACTGGGGATTGAACCGAGGGCCTGCACACTGAACTACAGCCCCAGCCCTTTTCTATTTCTTATTTTGAGACATAGTTGCTAATTTGCCCAAGCCTGGCTCTAACTTGCTGCCTTCCTGCCTCAGCCTCACATAGTGCAGAGATCTATAACAATGGAGCAGCTAATATTATCTCCTTAATCCACAGGACTTTTGGGAAGAATATATGAGACTATGTATATATAAAATGCTTTGCAAACTTTAAAGGACAACAGGCAATTTGGCCTTTGCCATCACTTCCTCAATTCATTCATGCATCACAGGATGCTGGGAGGATAAATGAGAGATAGAAAGTCATTTACTAAAGAGAATCCTAGAAACAACAAGTCACTGTAGCAAGTGAGGGTATACTGCAATTCTGGGAGTAAAGACAGACAAGCTAATCAGAAAGCTAATCCCATCTGGGAGATGTGTAAAACACCTTCCATCTATAGTCGAAGTAACACTATAAGGTTCTTTTCTTATTCCTTTGTATTCTAGAGGGTGTTGGGGGTTGGGTAGCTCAAAGGAGAGAGTGAGACACAAAAACATTTGCTGGATTATGGGATGGGGGCGTGGGGGGATGCTATACTTTAAGAGCCATAAAATGACTGAAGTGATCACACAAAAAAGAGATTTTCTAATTCCATTTGAGCTATAATCTGATTTCACTGTTGAATACAATGTCCCTTTCACAAGGATCTGAAGTCAGTATGAGGGCTGTGCTGCAGAAGTTTTCCACCCAGCAACAGGATGATGTCAGTGGCCAGAGAGAACAACCAATCAGTAGGCAGAATGAATCAGAGCGTGCTGGGATTTTGCTCAACTGTCTCCTAGCAAAGGAAGCTCAGCTCTGAAGTGCAGGGGCTATTTGCACTTCCTCTGCACATGAAGCTGAGACTAATGGCTCCTTAGTTAAAAGGATACCAAATGGGTGTACAAGCAGTTAAGATTATTTGCATCCAAACAGCCAGTCCTATGGATAATGAGTCATACTGATACTTTTCTGCAAGTACTTTTATTTTTTTTTTACAATGAAAAAGTCAGCATTAATGAATATTTTAAAGGCTTGATTTTTATGTCATGCCTTTTAATTGTTTGAAATCTGTTTTGTTCCATGCATTATGTGGTGCTGGTCAGCTGATGAGCTAATAGCACATGAACCATATGTAAAGTTCAGTATATATTCTGTAAACTTTATAGAGTTGAACTTGCCTGTAATGTTTCAAGTCTTCTTTCTAATGACAAACAGTCTAGAAATAAACAGCATGTTTCATTTCTGGGTCAAAAGCCCTACTACTTTAATTCCACCAAAATGTGTTTTTTGCATGCTTTAAAGGTAAGTCTAAATGGAAAGGTTATGACGTGACTTGTAGGCATCCTCTTATATGTAAGGGGAAGCTTTGTATTATTATATGTTAATTCATGTTTCTGAAAACATGAAACATTTTGCAGGTTCTCTGATCTTGGTAGACAGTGACAGCAGTACTGGAAGAGGGTGCAATTGCAGGGTTGAACTTACCTACCCATCATCAAGGTTTATCACACCTCCCAGGAACACATCTTATCTATGCTAGCTAAGGCTGGAAGACAGTTTCTCCTGTGAGTGATAAAAACCACATCTTTCCAAAGGAAAGAAATATATAACAATGAGGGAATGATTTTCCATCTTGTCTTCTTTCAGAATCCTTGGTAGTTCTCAGGGGATGACACAGACTATGATTTATTGACCCAGACCTGCCCCAACCCCTGTCTCTTTCAATAGTTTGCTTCTTGGCTGAATGCCTCCTTTTTCTTAGTACTGAAATGAAATCAGGACTTATAAAAATGAGCGAATTTGAGATAATTAAGGACACACCATCCTGATATATTAAGAAGACTGAGTTTCAAATATACCTGAAAGAAAAAGCAAACAATATAGTCAAAGGTTGAGAGTGTGCTGGAGGAGACCACACAGGTGGATTGCCTTGGATTTGCAGCCCAGCTCCATCATTTACCAGCTCTGCAACTCAGGCCAAATCTCCATTCCACAGGTGCAAACCAGGGCAATGCTTAGTTCCAAGGATGATTGTGAAGATAAACAATCTCTCAAAGAGCACAGGCAGAACACAGAGAAGCTACTTAATTCATGGACCACCCTCACCCTCTTTAAACTGGAAATAAACAACTTGTTGGCAAATAGAAATCCCAGAGAGACCCACTTTCACAAATACTGTGGGATTTGTAATTAGCATGTAAAAGGATTGCCTCCAAGCCCTGAAAGCATGTTGTCCTTTAAAGGCTCTTAGACAAGCTCAAGAAGCCTTGTTTACACTCTAGCATTAATTTGCTTAGCAAATCCTCACTGCTAGGGCAAAATTAAATTTCAGTTTAGATTCTGTTTGATTGACCCCAAATTCTACATGAAGGTGGCTTTAGTGTGGTCTCAGTTTCACTTTTCGGGGAGCCTTGAAATTAATGCAATGAGTCTTCTAATGACTCTATAACATCTTGGCAGTCTTTACAAGAAACTAAAACCTGAAGTACTTGCATGTGAACCAATGTTGTTGTCACCATTCCCCTTCAACACAACATCCCTCAAGGGAACATGGTCCTGGTGCCCAGAGGAGCTTAGAAAAGCTGTCTTCAGAACAGGATAGATCAAGAGTCTGTGTGGAGGTGACAGCTCCAGGGCAGGTTAGAGGTTAGAGCAGCTGTGGTGCCCAGAGACAAATCAGAAGGAAGTCGAGTGGGGGATGCACTTCCTGGGTGAGGCTAAATCAGCTATTTTGGACTTAGGTTCCTCATTAGTTAGTAGTTACAAAGATTATAGAAATGGCAACATTCTATAATTTGTACTGGCCATTTCCCCTAAAAAATGCAATTTGCTGACTAAGTAATGATACCATAGGTTCACTGTTCCCTCAAGGACTTCTTCTTCCCACTATACAGAAAGATGATTATCATCTTGCTTGAGGATTTATGGAAGATGTCATTAGGGTGGCAGGATGGGAGATTCTGAATAGAGATACAATAAGCAAAAAGTTGAAATCTCTTGACAGTACTTCCCTTGTTCTAAACACTTCAAGTGGAGAAGTTAGAAATGGGTATAAGCTGGAACTGAGTAAATGGGTCACTCTACACAGGCCCCAAGAGATCTTTACCTATATTTAGTTAATGGGCAGCCAATTTATGTCACAAGAGTGTCATTTTGTGGTCAGAACAAGTAGACGTGGTGTTATGGGATAAATTGAGATGGATAAAGTGCATTGTTTGTTTGTTTGTTTTTCGGTACCGGGGATCGAACTTGGGTCCTTGCACTTGCGAGGCAGGCGGCGGAACCACTGAGCTAAATCCCCAGCCCTGCATTAAATACATTGTGTATTTGGAAGGGACACATTGCTTGGAATTAGTTCACTGCAGATGTAATTAGTTAAAATGATGGTAGAACAGGGTAGTCTTCTTATCCAAAATGACTGGATAAGGCAGACCCATACAGGGAAAACTCTGTGTGCACCCAGAGATTGGACACAAGCCAAGGGACTCCCAAAGATTATTGGAAAACCACCACAACATAGAAAGAGTCAGAGAAAGATTCAGAGAATTCTAGGGGTTCAGAGGAACTTGGCTGTGCTGATGCCTTAATTTGGATTTATAATCTTTCAAAGTGTGAGACAATAAATAAATGTTGTTTTAAGTCACCATTTGTAGTACTTTTCTATAGCAGCCTTAGTAAACTAATACATACGGCAGTACCAAAATTGCTGATGTTACCCCAGACTAGGTAAAACTCCCAGCTGTATAAGCTTAGAAAAGTTACTTAACCTCTCTGGAAAAATCTTCCTTGTGCAATGTGGGTGGAGTACTTCACTCAAAAGGACTCTAAAACCTTTTGAGACTATGCAGTTACTTCCCAATATACTATAGTTTTCCCCTCTGATCTAGGTATTGGTCATTCCCCATCTCTCCATTTGTACTTCTCCATGTCTCAGTTCAAGGCTTAGGTTTTTCTTGCTTGGAAAACTGCAAATCTGTTTTCCCTTCCAACCTATACATAACAAGGA